CATAGTAAAGTTAGCTCTGTGAATTAAGAGCCAAGAGTAATATATTAAATAGATTTTAGTTTTTCAGGATGAAATGTAGGTCTGTTGCACACATGGAATGGGATGAGATATTAACCAAAGTTTAATACTTAAGGTTGGTAACTGCATAATGTCTCAGTCAGTGGTGGTGTTGGGATCGTACCTGGCAATCTGGTTGACATAAGGCTTTAATTCGCTTGGCTCATAGGCACGGGCGAAAGCCCAGCACACGTAGCAGGCCGCGTCACGTACATTTGATCCCAAACTGCATGCTCCCCTTTTTTCGTCATATATCAGAGCTTTTAGAACCAGAGGCACCACTGTAGGATTCAGAGACAAAACATTAGTATGCTAAAGCCATTAGTTTTGCAATCAAACATATTTAAATACATTTACATATACAGCAGCAGTCTATACGCATATATGCATATATCAAAAAAACATTCAATTAAATACTGTAATTATAATAGTATGAAATACTAGGCTATTACAATTTAAAAAAAATATATTTTCTGTGAAGCTAAATTTCCAGCATCATTACTCCAGTCTTCAGTGTCACATGATCCTTCAGAAATTATTCTAATATGCCTTTCGATAAACATTTATCATTATTATCAATGTTGAAAACAGTTTATGGCTAAGTTTTGTGAAAACTGATCATTTTTTCAAGGTTTCTTAGATAAATAGAAACATTAAAAAATAAAAAAAATAAACATTTTGTAGCATCATAAATGTCTTTATAGTAACTTTTGATTAATGCATTGCATAATTGCATAACAAAAGAAAATTAATTTTACTGACAACAAACTTTTGAATTTTTTGTCTATAATTATATAACTAGAATAACATTCATTAATATAATGTGTGTAGTGCATAAACATACACAGGCACACACCAACGAAGAAGAGAGTATTGATAGTTGACTTTTGGAAGGTCCCTTATTACAAGGAAATCTCTTCCTAAAACTTAGGTGGGGCCAGAATTTGAAGTATTAAGAGTTTATGATTCATGCAATATGTGCAAATTAATGAAAAAAAAAAAATGTTTATAAAACAAAACTTTACCATTAAATTTATACAAACTGAGATCCAGCATACATAAACATTTTCATAATCATGCTGTAAAGACACATCAGGTGCGGCACACATTTGGCTCCATGCAAATCTCACTGGTTGTCCTCAATATCTCCACACCCCTCTGACAACATCCTCAAACCTGCTTCACACCTAACTCTACCACTCCTGGGTTAATTCAACCATTTAGGCAAACAAAAGCCAAAAACAGTCTTGTCTGGCTTCTAGTCCTTGTGGATGCTCACTAACAGTTGAGACAGGAGGCAAACTTGCCATGTATCGTGGCTTGGGGCTTGCCTATTATTTGGTACATTGATGCTGCCTCAGGGCTCTACTGCTTGGGCATAGACTCCACCCCACAGAGTCAACACCTCAGAAAGCATCAGGCTCATCAGAAACGTGACAGAAGACCTAAAGAGCAGACACCTGCGTTCAAGGACAATCATATCAGCCAAACTGATAAACTCCAGGAGGTCCGTTGTGGACATAATCTTTTGACGATACTTCCAACATCACGTGGAATCTGATAACAGGTAAGGCTGTAAAAGCTAAATCACTAAGATTTTTAATGGCAACTGTTCTTATTGCTGTGTGTGTGTATGTATTTCTAGCATTTGTTAAGGCTGATGTAGCTTGTAGCAGGTGTTTAAATATCTGACTACAGATGCACCTGTTAGACCATATCTGGGAGAAAATTCTCTTTTGTATTTGCCATGTGGTTGTACACATACACCCAGTGTCTAAACAGTCGAAAAAAAAAAAAAAAATTAAATTCTCGTGTTACGCTAATATCACAAGATTTCAGTGTACCCATAGAAGTGTGATTAAGAACCAGGAAACAACGCATAACACAGCAAAATCAAATTTCACAATACAGAAACGTTCTTTTATTTTGTGCCTTAAGGAGGGAGCGGCTTGATATGAAACATGGGAGTCAAAACCTGAGCCACCACTTCTTGCGACAGCGTGTGACAAACAGGTTCCTTAAGGCGGAGTCATTTTCTGCATAACTTGCCCAGCAATCTCTTTCTTCAATATTCTGCTTCCCAATACAAACCTTCAGGCCTCAAAATCTTTGCACACTAACCAGACCATTAGGTCTCATTGTAGTGAAGAATTGTAGAAGCCAATTCTTTCAATCACGGAAGCAGTCCAATTGATCACTAATGTTATAACAGATGAAATTCAATTTTGCTTCTCTACATTTACAGTGTGAGTGAGATAAACTTTTAAATGTCTGGAGTTTGTTGCAAGTGAGGTCATGGGAAAAAGGTGTATGTGGTTTCCCACGCCATCAGGTTTTGATAAAGGGGAGCATGTTTCTACAGGCCTACACTGGCTTCACTAGTGCAGATAGAGCATGCCATGCTAACACGCAGGCCAGCGGACAATGCAGAACTGCTACAAACTAGCTGAAAAGCTTAAAGGACTGCGAGCATCCAAACTCCCTTTATTTCAACCTAAATTAGTGACCCAACAAACAGCAGATGCTCTGATCTAGGATGTGGCAGAAATGTTAATGATTTTTTTTCTTTCTTCTGTTGTCAGATAGTTGGATTGGAACAACAGCACAAGTATGGACATTCTCCAGGGGAGAAAACCGAAGAAACCCCATTACATTCCACGCCCTCCTGGCAAACCGTTCAAATATCAGTGCTTCCAATGTCCCTTCACCTGCAACATCAAGTCTCATCTCTTCAACCACATGAAGTACAACCTTTGCAAGAACTCCATCTCTCTGGTATCTCAGCGCATGGAACAGACAGGAAAAACAACCAGAGCTTCCCAGAATAATCTTCCTTTCAACCACAACAGCAAAGAGCCAACCCTGGAAGCTGAAGCCAGCAAACCAATAGAAAGGGTCAGTGACAAGGTTGAACAAGAGGAGATGGTTGAAGAAACAAGACAAAAGCCTGAATGTCCCATCAAGGAGGTCACCAAGCAAGTGCCAGAGGCAGTTTGTGAGATTAGGGACAAAAGTGCAGACACAGACATTACACAGAACAAATTATCGTCGGCTTTCTCACCAGTTGCAAGAACAGGTGAAAGTGAAACTCTGTCTCCTCGCAGAGACGATCAAACATCTTCATCCATTCCTCAGTTCTACAATCAAATGGCACCTTGGGTCCCACCTGCCTCCACAGCACCTCTTCTTCCTCTAATACAAGACTATTCTTCATACATGGTACCTGAGAGGCCCTTGCACTCCCTCTACACGCCTTACCCACACAACCAAGCAAACACCTCTGCCTACCAACTCACACCGCGGGAGACCCAGAGACCTCTGATGCCATCACCTTTGGTCCCGCCTAGTCCTTCTCTTCTCCACCCTTATCACTATAGATATGCTCATTCGATTATACCCAGTCCACCTCTACCCTACAGCGTCTACCAACACCCTGAACTAACCATGTCCTTACAGAGAACTAGGTATCTTCCTCTGGATTTATACAGCAACAGATTTTATCCTCGAGAGTACGGAGGACACCTGATTCCCATATCTCATCAGGATTCTTACAGCAGACTTCCTGAGGACAGGGCTGTCCAAGAGCACAGTCCAGGAGACAAAGGTACTCGCCAGAGTCCTTTAGCAGGATGTGCCGCCTCTGGGTCGCCAGACAGACCCAGTACCGCAGATGTCATCCAACGTATCCCTGTTACAATTAGGCTGGCTTCCCATGGGGAGTCACTCCCTGTCAGTCAATCGCAGTATGTCTTACAAGGGGCAACCGACAACTTAACCAAGAAATCATATGGACAACCCCAAGAGATGGTGTTACAAAAGAGAGAGAGGTAGGTAAACTATGTGAGACATAGACACTTTTTGTATGACGGTCAAATAAAGCAAGTTAAACGTTTCCCCAATCTTAACATTTCTATATTGTTTTCTCTTTCTAGCAATGACCCACAAACCACAGATTCTGCAAGAGTCAGTGAGATTTCATCAGAAAAGGAAGAGGACGAAGAAAATGAGGAGGAGCCAGGTCCTCTAAACCTTTCAAAGAGGGACCAGGCCGTATCCAGTGACATGACACACCACTACTCTGACCAAGAGCTCCATTATGATTCAGAAAGTAGTCAAGAGGCACCGCTCAACCTTTGCCTCAGGGGACAGTCCAACAACCAAGCCTTGCCCAACACCACAGGCTCTGAAACTCCAGAAAGACAAACCATCAAAAACATTGAGGAATCGACAATTGCTTCACCCAGAAAACAAGACCTAGACCCATGTGACCAGAGGCACTCAGCGGCCTTTGCTCTGTGTCAACTAGCTAGCTCAAGGGACACTCTCAAGGACTCCTCTATTGATCAACAAGAAATGGCCGAGGGCCAGAACAGCAATCACCTTCCTCCCCCGGACAACTGCCCAGTAAAAGACACTCCAGACATACCGAAACAGAACACACGGGTGCTGGGACAAAAACGGGCAAACAACAGACCTCTGAGGCACAATACCAAAAGAGCAAGAGTAAAAGAACCGTCCCGAACTCAAAGAAAGAGGTCGCAAAACTGTTGATGCAGAGATTTCAAAGAATGGACTGCTGCAATTCAAATATTTTATAGAAAGGAGTTCCAGTGAAAAGATCAATACTCAAGAGACATTACAGGAAGAGATGGTCAACATCTTTCAGCCATAATGGGCTCAATTAAAAGACTATGCATAATTGGTAACATGTATGAACTGAATCCAAAATAAGTTGCTTTGGATAATGCATGCAAATGTAGATACTTCTAAAACACAACATTATGCACTAATTTGGAGAAAGAAGGTATCCCAGATTGTATACTGAAAATCTTACGCTCTTTGACAGATTTACAAAAGTATGTATCAATTCATTAAATGGAGCTGGGTGGTGGCATTTCTTTCTTTTTTTAATAAAGAAGCTTGTCAGACTTGCAGTATTTGAATAAGGTGTTTGCATAAAGTGAAGTATGTTTGCTTATTAATGTTTTGTTCCGAGTACGGTCAAGGGGAGTAACAATGTATACATAAACAAGATTATAGCATATAATTGATGTCAGTGGGTAAACGTAAAACCAATAATTTTCTAATTTAATACAATAGAGAATAAAAAAAAAAAAAAAGAGTAAAAACCAACCATCTGAAAGACGCGAAGGAAGCAGGAGTCCTCTCCGGCCTAGCTCTGCAAGAGCCAGGCAGCCACCGTGCCATGCATTATGTGTTTCCTGGAAACTGCAATATGAAGAAAAAATACCTTACTAAGTATGTGATCTCAGTATGGCAGCCTCCTGTTGCTTCATGCCACACCTGAAACACTCCAAAACAGATTCAACCACTTCATCTGCGAGCTCTTTAGGTAGTCTACCAGTCACCCTTCCAATCCTGAAGGTGGTTAAAAAGAGAAAGACCAGTTAAAAAATGAATCATTTTAGTACTAGAGATTATAACAGAGAAATGTGGCGCTAAAATATGGCACTGTCAGACAAAATCAAACAAAGTGTATTTAATAAACTTGACTGTTCTCACCCCTTTGCAGAAGACCATCGCACTATTGTCTCTTTGTCTTTCAGTCCCACCAACAGTTGTTCTGCAACAACGAATAAGAAAATGATCAGCAACAAGATAGCATTTAAATATTTAGCAAACAAAACAAACAAATGGAAATATGCCTGAATACTTACCAATGACAGTCTCTACCTCCTGAGGTATGTCATAGTCTTCCTCCTGACTGACAGACTCTAGATCAGGTTTTGTATCCTCAACACTTCCAATGACAGAAGACAGGGCCAGGTTGACTGCGAGTGATCGACTTCCTCTCTGGTATCTGGAGGCAGTCATACAAAATGCTTACAAACAAGGCTGACACTTTTGAGCATTCCTTGTTTCATTTTTATGTTTTTGTTTTGTCAGTCACTCCTCCATTACCTCCATTTGGCCAAACGTGGTTTTAGACAGGTCAAGCAAAGTCTCTGGACAACTTTTACTCCCAGCTTACGCAACGTGGCTTGGTTACTTTCAGCTATTCTCTTCTGGTTAAGGCACTGAAGGACTGTGGGGGCTGTGAACGAAGGGTCAGGTAAAGATTAGCAAAAATCTATCTTTGTTTGTATGTTTTGGCTTTATAGAGACCAAAGAAAGACCTAGAAAACATATACACACACACCATACTGCAGGAAGTCATCACGTTTCCCATGCTTGAAGAGCTGGGCCTGGTGAGAAATCATTACTTGATTAGGATGGATGCAGTTTTTGCAAAAGTCCTGCTGTACACATTGGTATTGGTATGGTAAATACCGAACTACTCATTCAAACTCTTTGAGCAGTACTTTACCTATATATCATTAGACTGATGTGGAGTCAAATTTATTAAAATTACCAAAAACCAATTTGCAACAAGTCTTGAAAAATGCTGCAAACAGTTAGGCTTAATGCCAGCAGCAGTACCTTGTAATTATCAAGGGTGCACCGCACATGCTCCAGCTCCCTGCCTTGTAGCACTTACAGCATATGCAAATCATTGATGGCAGTTTTAGTACCTCAGGCATTCCCAACACACAGAGCCAGTTTTGAGCACCTCAGGCGATAGAGACATGCTTATGTGTTAATAGAGGAATAGTAGACTGGTAGGATTAGAGTTAGAATAAGTTGACATGTATTTGCAAAGTTACTTATATTCAGTAGAATGTCTGTTGGGGAGCATCACAATAAAGAGGTGATGGTTAAAGATAAAATAGAATTAATAATGCACAAGTGTGTGTGTGTGTGTGTGTACAGACCAACTATAAATCCAACCGTGCATTTTATGTCTACCCACCCACATTTAAACATACAATTGTCTTATTATTAATTAATTGAATGAAAGATGCATATTTTATTGCTTGAAATCTCAGTTTTATGTGAATCAGCTTGGATTGTTTTTGCCAAGCATTTGCATGTTCGACATCTTGAAAAGAAAGGGTGGAAGTGGTGTATGTTAACAGGCCTACATGTGAGATAAACAATGGATTGGAGGCTCACCAGGGACTGCAAAGCTCCATCAAGGGCCACAGTTCCCTCCATGGTCATTTCACTGGTCTGAGATATGGTGGTCAGACACCAGTCTAGAAAATCACCCAAACGCTTCTGCTTCACATCTGGACGGGTCACAAACCTGTGCAGATAATACAAATCTTTCAAGCAAAGAGATCATCTACAAGTGTTTAAACAGTGCCCTCTACTGCTCAGCGAGTAAAGCTGGCAATATTTTGCATTAAACACCCACTTTTGGATATTATAAGAGAATCGGAAATCATTTTTAAAACCACTTATTTTATTACACTTTTTTTAATTATCATTTAAACCAAACTAAAAAAATAAAATTAAACATTTAATAAAGCATATTTTCCACACTTCTTTTGACTAAATGAATGATATTTACAAGAATGATATTTAATCATTTTCATTTATATGCACCAATACATTATTAGACGAAAGTACTAAACAGCAACATATACATGTTTATATAGTGTGCTAAAACATTTTAATACATGGAGACTTATAAATTATGGCACAAATGAATCACTCAATCAGTGTTTGGTCAACTATTAAATCAGCCTAAACTGTCTCATACAGAGAGGCATGGTGAATTTTGTATAGTAAAAAAAAACAAAAAAAAGTAAACAAATAACGGCCAATTAAAAACAAACTCATTAAAATGTTAGCAATATTTACATCTAAATATTTACAGGGCTGGTCAGAATTATTTGACCCCTTTGTAAATATGATCAAAGATGGCAGTAAAAAATAAATCAGCATTCCGCATTGTTTATGCTTTTGATATTTTATTTTTTTATTTTATTTTTATGGCTGAAGTGAAGAGAAGCAGCGCCAACATGGATCTGGGAATCTGCAGGATCTGGAGAGATTATGTATGGAGCAATGGTCACTGAACTCTTGTCAGGTGTTCTGCAAACTCATCAGGCATTACAGGAGAAAACTCAGAACTGTTATCTTGGAAAAGGAGGTAGCAAAATGTATTTAAAGGGTTAGTTCACCCAAAAATGAAAATTAAGTCATTAATTACTCACCCCCATGCTGTACCAACCCCGTAAGACCTTCGTTCATCTTCGGAACACAAATAAAGATATTTTTGATTGAATCTGAGAGCTGGATCAGTCCTACATAGACTGCCTAAGGGACTGCCTCTTGACGGCCCATAAAGTCTTTAAAGAAAAGGTTTAAATATTCCATGTGCCTACAGCGGCTCAATTATAAGTTTATCAAGCGACGAGAATACTTTTTGTGCGAAAAAAACATAAATAACGACTTTATTCCACTATTCCATTACTTCCTTATGGGCGCATGCGCGAGAACTGAGACGAGGGCGTTCTTCTCCTTCGACTACTTCTTGTTACCGGCTGCTCACCGCTTAGGAGTTTTACCGCCACCTGCCGTATAAGATGATGTGCTGATATAGCTGGAAGCGCAAAACTTTCTGTTTACAAGCAGAGGAAGATGCGCGCTGTACATACGCTTTTCAATTAGCGTATTTTCCGCACTATAAGGTGCACTTAAAAGCCTTTAATCTTCTCAAAAAACGACAGTGTTCCTTATAATCCGGAGCGCCTTATATATGGATCATCATTTTATACGGTAGGTGGCGGTAAAACTTCTAAGCGGTGAGCAGCCGGTAACAAGAAGTAGACGAATGAGAACGTCCTCGTCTGACTTTATGGGCCGTCAAGAGCCAGTCCCTTAGGCAGTCTATCTAGGACTGATCCAGCTCTCAGATTCAATCAAAAATATCTTTATTTGTGTTCCGAAGATGAACGAAGGTCTTACGGGGTTGGAACACAATGGGGGTGAGTAATTAATGACTTAATTTTTGGGTGAACTAACCCTTTAATAAAAGGGGGCACATAATTGTTACCAACTCATTTTGGAGAAAAACATTCATTTCATAATGTGATTTTTCCCCCACTTTCAATTATTTTACTTCAATGAAAGGTTCGATTTTACAGCCATCTTTGGTCATATTTACCAAGGGGGCAAATAATTCTGCCCAGCACTGTAAGCCCAGATCTACCCAGATAATAAACACACATATGTAAGGGTTAATGCCCGACGAGGTGTCCATTGTCAGGTTTTAATGGACGACGGCGAGGCGTAAACCGGCTGACGTGCAGCGGAGGACGGTTGCCTCCGCTGAAGTCCATTAAAACCTGACAATGGACACCTCGGAGGGCATTAACCCGCTTATACCATGGTCACTTGCCAAATAAAACATTTTTAAAACATTAGTTTATATTTTAATTAGGCTAAATCTAGTTTTTACAAATAATAACTTGCCTTGCCTGACTGTTTATTTAGCAACCGGAGATATTTAGCCTATAGTCCGCTTAGCTCGTATCCCTTCAGGTTCACAAATGCATTTTTTTTTTCATGAAACACAAAGGTAGGAATAGTTTTTTTTTTATTACACATAAAACAATTAATCAAACAACAATAAAAAAACAATTAGCTCTGAGCTCCAGCGATTTGCGCTTAACGTTATAGAGGGCAATAAATTAATCAGATCAAAGAGAGGGTCATTAGCCTCAGGCTCCTTAGGCTTGAAACGCTGTAACGTTCAGCCTTCTCCTGCCTTGGTTGTCTGGACAGCTGCGTAAAACTCCCGCAGGGTCTCATTCAGGGGTGCGTTTCCCGAAAGCATCGTTATCCAACTATGGTCGCAAGTTACGTCGTTACCAATAGAGTTCAATGGAGCAGAGCAGCAGCGGTGTAATTTTCTCCGTTTTATTTACATTTTTTCTTTCTTCAGCAGCATACCAGTCGTCAAAGTTGCCATATTCTCCATAAATGTTAAAAGAAATAGCACGAAGTCGCTCATTGTTGTATTAGGCTATAATATCTAACGTTAGATGATAGAGCATGTGACTGCCTGTTGCTATGGTTACTCACAGCCGTT